TATATATATATGTATGTATGTATGTATGTATGTATGTATGTATGTATGTATGTATGTATGTATGTATATATACATATACATACACACATGTATGTATGTATACATACATACATATACATATACATATACATACACACACACACACACACACACATGCACACACACATACATATACAGACACACTCTCCCAGAATGGTGTTTGGTCAGCGTGATTGCTAAGAGAATAACAGAGTTGGGAAGGCTACTTGGAGCTCTTCTAGTCCAGGAGACCCTCTCCCATTCCAGACAGTCCAGTCTTTTCTTGAAAACCTCCCGTGATGGAGAACCCACAACTTCTAAAGGCGAGCCATTCCACTGATTATAATAGAATAATAAGAGCTGGAAAGGACTTTGGAGGTCTTCTAGTCCAACCCCCTGCTCAGGCAGGAAACCTTATATCATTGCAGACAAATGGCTGTCCAAATTCTTCTTAAAAACTTCCAAGGATGAAGCACCCACATCTTCTGAAGGTAAGCTGTTCCACTGGTCGATTGTCCTCGCTGTTAAGGAAGTCTCTCCTTAGTTCCAGGTTGCTCCTCTCTCCTTGATGAGTTTCCATCTGTTGCTTCTTGTCCTGCCTCCAGATGGTTTGAAGAACAGCTTGACCTCCTCTTCTTTGGGGCAACCCCTTAGATATTGGAAGACCACTATCACGTCACCCCTGGTCCACATTTCTCTGTACCGTTTTTCACCAGGTCCTGCTGGACAATGTCACAGTTGACTGGGGAGTCACAGTAGAACACGTGGAGATCAAGAATGTGAAGACACGTGTAAATGTAAGAGGGTCAGTGTGCAAATGTTGGATTTACTCTCTACTCTTCACCCATAATTGCCCTTCTATCCTCTGCGCCTATCAACTGTGGGAATTTCCGTCTCAATATGCTGGGCAGATCTAGTCAGTTGTAACTTAGCTAAGTGCAGGGTGTGTGTGTGTCCTCATTTAGCAACCAATCCAGTTACTATGGTGATGGAAAAGTCATCCAATCCAACCCCGGTGCCCAAGCAGGAGACACTACACCATTTCTGACAGAGGGCAGTCCAGTCTCTTCTTGAAAGCCTCCAGGGATGAAGCTCACAACTTCTGAAGGCAACTTCTGTTCCATGGGTTGATTGTTCTCACTGTCAGAAAATCCCTCCTTATTTCCAGGTTGAATCTCCCCTTGAACAGTTTCCATCCATTGTTCCTTGTCTGGCCTTTGGGTGCTTTGGAGAATAGCTTGACCTCCCCTCCTCTCTGTGGCAGCCCCTCAAATATTGGGAGACTGCTATCCTCTCTCACCTCTCCTTCTCTTCTCTAGACTAGCCATGCCCAGTTCCTGAAACCGTTCCTTGTATGCTCTAGATTTATGGATTCCATCTCTAAAGAGGCCTTTAGAGCCTGCATAGCAGAGTGTTATATCTTTAGGTGGACCCCTTGTTCACACAATCCATTCCTGGTCCAGCTTCACCCCTTTCCAGATGTTGCTTATCCTAAGACATAAACAAGACCTTTGGGAATCGCAGAAGTGAAGGCCAGGTAAAGCTAGCACTTCTGAATGTCGCAAGGGTTTTCCAAATGCCTCCTCAAGAACCTGTGGTCCCCTTCCTTCTAGGTTGTCTCCCTAGGGAATGTGACGCCGCAACTGAGGCCGGTGAAAGAACTTTCCATCTTCCTTCAAGACTCTCCTGCCTCCATCCAACTCCGTTGCTTTAAGGCAGACAGCGCCCATCCTAGCCCACACACCTCCACTATCATCTTTGCATAATTGAGTTCCGCAGACAAGGGTTGAGAAGGAAGCCTCTCAACGTGGGCTGCTTCAGGGAGAAACCGTGATCCTTCAAAACCCAAGGCCACCTTAGAAGATATTGGGGTAGATGTATTTGTTTTGTTTTTAATGTTTGCTGTTGTTTCTATGGTTCTCCCTCCCCCCCTAACCACAATAAAATTTAAAGAAAGAGATCACCTTGGCATCTGGTCCTCTGCGGGTGGAGAGTTCAGAGGTTATGGACCAGGGGTGAAATTCAGTAGGTTCTGACAGGTTCTGGAGAACCGGTAGCAGAAATTTTGAGTAGTTCGGAGAACTAGCAAAGACCACCTCTGGCTGGCCTCGCCCCCATCTATTCTCTGCCTCCCGAGTCCCAGCTGATCTGGAGGGAATGGGGATTTTGCAGTATCCTTCCCCTGGAGTGGGGAGGGAATGGGGATTTTACAGTATCCTTATCCTGCCACACCCACCAAGCCATGCCCACAGAACCAATAGCAAACAATTTGAATTTCACCACTGTTCTGCTGAGCCTCCTTTTCTGTCACTTGAACTGAGCAGTTTTGCCAACTCTTTCTCGTGGTGGCTGCTTAGCTCCAGCAATTGCTCCCCATGGGGGCCCTCAGGAGCCCAGACGGGCAGGCGAGGAGTGGTGAGTAGAGGCTAGCGAGGTGCCCCTTGATGTGAGGGACATCAAGTTGGCCACACCCATCCAGTCACAGGACCACCTAGCCATACCCACCCAGCTGGTCATTAGGCAGATCATATTAGTGGTGCGTGGGGTTTAAAATTATGAATGTAGTGGTCCCTGAGGTCCGAAAGGTTGGTGACCCCTGCCCCATAGTGTTTGTGTGGGATTGTGTCAGTGTGTTGCATGATTCCATCTCTTGTGAGCAAACTACAGTTTATGGCTTTGAGTGATGTGTAGAAGATTAAAAAAAAAGACTTTTTAAAAAAAATCTATTTTGACCAATATCAATGCCTCTTAGTCTGAGATGGGACGGGTGAAGGCCTTTCGGAGGCCCAGTAATTTAGAACATACTTAGAACCCCCAGTACTTAGAACATACTTTCAATCAGAATAGAGTTGGAAGAGACCTTGGAGGTCTTCTAGTCCAACCCCTCGCTCAAGCAGGAGACCCTACACCATTTCAGACAAATGGCTGTCCAGTCTCTTCTTGAAAGCCTCCAGTGATGGAGCACTCACAATTCCTGGAGGCAACTTCTGTTCCGTGGGTTGATTGCTCTCACAATTAGGAAATTTCTCCTTAGTTCTAGATTGCTTCTCTCCTTGCTTAGTTTCCATCCGTTGTTTCTCATCTTGCCTTTCGGTGCTCTGGAAAAGAGTTGGACCCACTTATCTTTGTAGGAGCGGCTCATATTGTAACGCTGCTTCTTTTCATTAGACTAGACAATAGCCCCATGATGGTGAATCTATGACACGCTGCTCTCCTGGTTTCCAGTGCTGGTCTTCACAGGTGCCAGAGCACCTGGAAAACCTCCTGAAAACGGCCCGAAAAATGACCTGAAAAATGGCCAAAAACCAGAGTCTGTTTTCAGGCCAAAAATGGCATGAAAAATAACCTGAAAATGGCCTGAAAAATGGCCCGAAAACCAGTCTAAAATGCCCCAAAAATGCCCCCAAAACAGGCATGCACATGCTGGCCAGCTGGTTTTTGAGTTTCCGGCACTCTGGCGCATGCACCGGCACTTTTTCCTTGAAGACGGCAAGATTCACCATCACTGCATGGTGTCTGAGCAACTGTTTCCTGGCCGGATGCCTTCCTGTCGCCGATGCGGAGTTTTGTTCAGCAGATGTACTCTCATCGTGCCCAGAGAGATAAATATCTACCTCTAGGATCGAACTCCCAGGCTCCTGATTGTGAGGCGAGAGCGCCACCTCTAGGCCACTGTACCACTCCCAATCCCTGTAACCATTCTTTGTATGATTAGGGGGCTGGAGGCTAAAACATACAAAGAATAGTTCTTTTCCAATGTGCGCCAGAACCGGTGAAGCCTATTGATTCTATACAAGCTTTATTAAAGGCCATTTTCTCCAAAGCAGCAACAAGGAGGTCAAAACGATACAGTTCGTGGACAGGTCTCAGCTACTGATTAGCTTCTTGAGCTAATTTTTTTAATTTTTATTTTAAAAGAAAAAAAGTGCCTTTAGGAGATGGAAGGAGGCCTTCGAACGCCACCCACGTTTCTCCTTCTAACTGATTAAAAAAAGGAGAGATTTCTGTCTTCACACAGCCAGCTCTGCCAATGCCCTCTCTAAAGGATCCACGTTCCAATAATCGTCCTCCCAGCCCAGGAACCAGCCGGTGAAGGTCGGCGGTTCGAATCCTTGTCGGATGAGGGTGATAGGTGTCCGTCGATCGCGATTGGCCGGGTCGGTCTCAATGTATCTCCGTGCTATAAAAGAGGATAGACATAATCAGTGTCAATATTTGAGATGTTGACCTGCCAACAAAGAGTTGGACGAGGTAAGGATTAAGGTGTGAGCGACTAACCCGATGTTTGGGCTTCTGTCTTCTCCTCTTCTTGGGCATCTTTTCCAACCCAGACAAAGACCTTTGAAGAAAAAGCCAAATTAACTTCCTTATTACACCTGCTATGGCCACCAGGGATGTTCAATTCTTCATGAATCATCTCCCTCTTATTCTGCCCATCAAGGGGTGATGGGAAGGGTTCAGCAAAAGAGAGCTGGGTATCACTTTCAGGACCTTGGAGAGCCCCAAATATAATCTTTTAATGACCCCCTAATCCCTTGCGGGGTGGAGTCTGGGCAACTGAATGGAGCTAGCAGAGGTTTTTAATGGCCAGATGCCCTTCCTGTCACCATTGCGGAGTTATATTCAGCAGATACTGTTCTCATCGTGCCCAGAGAGAGAAATATCTGGATCGAACTTACAGCCTCTTGATTGTGAGGTGAAAGCTCCACCGTGCCAGTCAAGAGCCCCAAATATTCAGGGGTGGGTTGTTTCCGGCATTACTGCCGGTTCAGCATGCCAAAATTTTTGAGCCACCGCGCCCCATATATTTTTTAAAACAACCAATCAATTGTATACTTAAAAATAGAAATAGATGTTGATTTGCTGTTGGGTTATTGAGATTTTAATTTTAGAAAAGAAAATGTTTCATGCAAACGGTATTCGTTTTTCTCTGATTTCTGTTTTGACATTTTACAGATCTAGAAAAGAGATTAGATATATTTTCCGAGGGCTAACAGCACCTTAAGAAAGACAAGAAAACTTGTCTCTTTAATAATATTTTTGCTACAGATGATTTTATGATACAGAGCAGAGAAAATTCCATTTATTAATGAGTGGGGTGTACTTACCTGATCCCAGGTATCTAAAAGCATGACGTCATCTGTTGCCAAGTCATCTTGAGTCAACTCCCCAGGTACTTCTTCAATCTAAGAAGTTTGAAATAGAAAATGTATTTTAAACAACAAGATTGTTTTAAATTCTTGTCAATGTTAAAGGTGTTTAATGAAGTCCTATTATAAGCCAAAATACCGGACGCATGGATAGAGGCCTACATCACTTTGATCCCAAAAGAAGATGCAGATACAGCATAAATTAAAAAAAACTACAGGGCAATTTTGATATTAAACGCAGACGTCAAAACTTTTGCATCAATAATAGCTGAAATATTAAAAAGAGGTCCCATTGAGTTTATACACTCTGATCAAAATGAGTTTCTACCCAAGAGGCAAATTAGAAATAATGTTAGAAGAATTTTGGACACATTATGAAATACATAATGAAAAACAATTAGCACTAAAAAAAATTTAGATATTCAGAAAGCATTCGATAATATTAATTGGCAATTTATGCTTTATTGATTATTTTAAATCTATTGTCTACCTCACTCCAGGGGACACTGGATGTTAAATCCCCATCCTGTTCAACATGTAGACTTATTTAACAATCTGATGCTTCTGAGATAGTTGCCACCAGTATTTAAAGACCATTTTTTTTCTTAAATTTTGGAGCTAGTACCCAACTATGAAGACTAGGATCATTAGGTAGTCTTCTCCATTGTTCTGTCCTCCCTAAATTTTTCTGAATTGGGGGCAACATCATCTTTGTGGCCATGAGTGGCTCTGCTATTCAATGAAGAATCCCAACTATCTACTTCAATGGAGTGGCCAGATGTTTCAACCCCACAACTCCTTCCTAATTGAATTTAAGTGGTGTAGTGCAGTAGGGACAAGACCAGGATGGTGGCCTAGTGGTGAAGACGCTTGCCTCCCATTCAGAAGGTTGAGAGCTCAACCCTTGGTTAGGTAGCAGCAGATATTCCTCTCCTAGGAGGTAAAGAAAAAAATATCTGCTGTGAACTCCACGTAGGCATCAGGAAGGGAATCTGGCCAGCAAATGCTCAGCTCCCTCCAGTTGCCCCAACTCTATCCTGAATTAAGGAGTTACAGGCTCATAAAAAAGGGAATTTTAATGCAGTAGGGATCACTTGTGCACCTCATCTAGGATCACTAATATAGCCAAATTGTTTGGTGTGGTTTTGGGTTGTCTCAAGGAGGAAAATGTCAGGAAGAAGCTTCTGTGAGATAGACAGTCCAGTTTTCACGGTTCGTCCTCCCCCAGGAGGCCCCATTGCATCAAAATTCAACCATTTTGCTATCACGGTTTGGAAAAAAAATGCCTCTCAAGAAGCTTTGCCCATTCCTACGACCTCAACACACTTCCACTGGTGATGCCCGTTGCTCTGCAGTTGCTGGGCAAGGTGGCGAGTAGTTCTCTAGTTGGAAAGGGATCCATTTGTGGTACGGCGATTATAGAACGTGGGTTAACTGGCCAGCCAAGTTAGCTTCAGGTACTCACCGTGAAACGTCCACTCTTGTTGGAGCAGGCAAAGAGGCGAGGAGGGTGGGCGTCCATCTTCTTATCCTTCAGGCGTGGGGACGTGCGGTAGGCAGCTTGTCCGCCAAGAGCTTCCCAGAAACTTTCTGCAAAATAAACCTGGAGCTTGAATGAAGATTCTGGGTCAATACTTGTTCTGACCTAGACTTCCTGATACAGTTCAAAAGCACACGATCAAGTCCAAAAACCCTCTTTTTTTATTTCAAAGGCTGTGAATTATGTTCATTCACAGCCCGTAATGAGTTCCCAAAAGCAGTAAATAATCCTACAGCAGGCTGCCCAAATCCTTTGGGATGAGGCTGATAAGCACCCACCTTTATCTTCTTTGAAAACGCTGCCCAAGACTTAATTGGCAATTAGTTTGGCAAGGCCATAGGGAGCAAAGAGTCCAAACGAGCTTCAGAAGGTAAACCGACCAGCATGAACCAAGTTGCTTCTTGCAAAGGCTCATGTGCCTTTGCTCCTCCTTTATGTCCTATGGGAGGGGCCAATCACCTCCAAACCCTACTTCTGAGTTGCCCCTTCTGTTTTAACTGTTCTTGCCATCTGGCAGCTCTGCGCATGAACATATTGGGAACAGGCTCCCCCTGTTCCTCTTCCTCGCTGCTGTCCGACTCTGGAGGCTCCAGAGGCAGCACATAACTCCCAGATAGCCCTGGCCCCCTCTCTGCCTGCGACAGAGAGCCCTCGTCCGAGCCGTCCCCAGACTCCAGGACTGGCCCATGTTCCTCCCCAACCTCCTCGCTGTCTGGCTCTGCTGCTCTCACGGTGTTGAGGACAGCTCAAGAGAAAAGTAGACTTGGGAGCAAAAGAGAAGCGTTATGCAACCTGTGTTGAACTGAGGGGTCCTTGGTGCTCTCAGAGCTTGGTTTTGGGGGTGTGTGCCGAAGTTTCATTACCCAAACTAGGTAACACCATCAGTGCTACAGGCTGAATTGGAGATTTGTAGGCAATGAAAATATCATGCAATAGGAAACAGGCTAGTTTTTAAAGTGTCCTTTCGGAAAATTGGTTCACTAAGAGCCAATGGATCCAACTCAACGCAGCACAGCATAAAAACAATGTCCTTTTCCCAACATCACTTTTTAAGCTGTAGTTTGTTGAATGCGCCCCATGGGCCTGGTTTGTCTTTCCTCCCAAGCCCGCTGTAAGTGGATTCACACATTATGGTGCACCACAACGGAAGAAACCACCTTCTGTTCAGCACGAGGTGTGAACCTGCCTTTTAATTTCAGACATGCATTTCAAACCTGGCTCTCGGCCTTCAGCAACCTGAGTTGCCTGCCCTCCCAAAATCTTCAACAGCTCCTGGGCTCCTGATTTTTCGGTGTTGCTGGCTCCCTGGCCCACCCAGATATAAGAAGTAGTTGGGGTTTTCAAGAGAAAGGCGTCATTGGAATTCAGTTCTTTAGCAGCCGGGCTGATCTGTAAAAATATGAAAATGACATCGTGTCAGCTGTCATCTTGGGCTTCGCGGGAGGAATGTTTGGGGAAACAAAAGTAAGTGTTGTATCTGCTCGAGAGGCTGCCTCAAGGTCACCCATTTGGAAGGAGGAGGGGGCTACATACCAAAGTACACTTGAACTGACTGTTATGGGAACATTCTGCCTGAACCTGATTGCTGATATGGGGTTGGGCAGTGAGATATAGTTAAGGGAGGGAAAAGTGGAACTTAGGGATTTTGGCGTGCGATTCTCAGATCCGGTTTTGCAATTCTGCAACATACATGTTCTCTAATAAACAATACCTTTCTCAACAAAAGGAGCCAAGGACCATTTCTAACCACCCTAACCACTGCGCCAAGACCGAGGTGGCGCAGTGGTTAGGGTGCAGTATTGCAGGCCACTTCAGCTGACTGTTATCTGCAGTTCAGCGGTTCTAATCTCACCGGCTCAAGGTTGACTCAGCCTTCCATCCTTCCGAGGGGGGGGAAATGGGGCCCC